CAGTCTGTACATTTGGTCCATACATTACTGAAACATACAGCCTCGCCCTAAAGTTCGCTAACCCCATTTGTTAAGGTCATTTGTAGAACAATAAGGATTATGACATAAATATTAACTGTCTTCTTCATGGGGCGAAATAGTGTGAAAATAAATGACATATGTCAAGTAAATTGAAGGACGACATAGGGAAAATGATAAAGTGTGCAGGGTACAGTTTTTGATGTATGGTGTAGCAAAAATTCAGAAGATGAACAAGTATAACATGCAATAATAACGAGAGAATAATGGTTCTATAAAAATGCACATCAAAGATTTTTATGTATGTAAGACAAGTATTAAAGATGTAAAACAGCTAATGGTCGGAACGGCCACATGGTTTTCTTCAGCCAAACTATAATAGGTTGTCAATTTTCTTTGGCCATTAACACTAATTAAACAGTCTAATTGTTTTCTGTGTAGTCTAATTAAGCGAAATGTTACGTAGATTTTTAAGTAAAAAACAAAGCTAATGTTCATCTCATAGCCTGTGTTGTTGTTGGTGTTATTGTTGTCGGTGGTAGTTATTGTTGTTGTTGATGATGATACTGATGATGATAATGATTGTTAGTTTAGATCTGAGCATGTAGCTGCCTAAAGCTCAAATTGAAGACAATGCAAATTGGTTAACCTTACCAAGCACCTCCATTTTCTTGTATTCAAGACTTCTGAGAGATAATGTAATGTATGAAATACATGATGAATATTTTTGTTCACCTGTTTTGTATGATTCATATACATTCGTTTTGAACCAATCAAATTAGAAATCTCTCGACAAAAAGACATTGTTTTCAAACAGTCAAACAATAGAAAATATTGATATATAATATTTAGCAGGAATAAACTCAAACAAAAGAGACAAAACACGAATCAGATCGTGTGATATCGATTAATAGCCAAACCGATCATTTTCAATCATATTACCAATTTAACTTTGTGCATAATTTATATTTTGCAGCTAAAAACATGCAGACGTAGGCCGTCTAGGAAATTATTCATTGCATTATATTAACGAATGAGATAAATTACGAAAGTACAACGTGATAAAACGTGTTTCTTTACTCGGTAAATAGTTTTAGACTTAAATATTTGATAAGCGCGTTTTTACACTTTTTGGTGATATCTGACATTTAAGATTCATTTCCGGTCTTTTAAAGTCATTCCGTGAAAACTTTGCAATAATAACGAAATGAACGAACGGGTGATAAAATCCATTCCACTAAACCAAACAAAAATTAAAAACAGGAACACGAAAAGCTATATTTCAATATTGTTTGTATTTTAGTGTGTGAAATAAAATATTGATTATGTCAAGTCAACTTGGTTATCCCTTCACCTCTTGTGGGTCAATATTAATCCTTTAGGGTTGATTGTTCCCCTCCCACTATACAATTTAACACGTCAAAGTACACATGTCTGTTTACATTGTCCCAACCAAGTCAGTAAATATTTGGAAACTTGTTAGAAACCCATAAACATCTATAGGTCATAGTTTTTAGAGTTTTCTTACTATGAAGGGGGTCGGATCATACCTTTTTGTTTGAATTTTATTAGCTGTATTGACCTGGGGGTCGAGGTTGTTTGGACTTCGCGAGATCTTGCTACCTTAATACGACAAGGAGAGAAATTAGTAGCACGTCTTTGTCATAAAAGTGACTCAGACAAAAAAATAAAATAGGACAGAAAAAAAACCCGACAGAAGTCGTTCTATTATAATTAAGGGGCGATTTGCAATAAGGAAGAGTTTCTTTTGGGGCGTAAACAATTACCTTCCTTCCCTTTACAAAAATCGTATCTTTTTTATCTCGAATTAGGACACGCGGATAAGCTTACATAGATTTTTGTTTCTTTAGTTTGTTTATCAATCAGGAATGATTTATCAGGCGGTGTGAAATTAGAAATGATGATAAAAAAAAATTCGATGAAAATCTTTATATTACCCGCCATCTTAATGACAGCAAAATAGATAGGTCAAAATCATCGCCCACAGCTTACAACTTTATTACTAGCTTATTCTACATAAAACTAGAATATTCCCATTCAGTCATGGCCTATTGTTAAGTAACAAGGTAATCCGAATTCCTACACCATGTTAACCTAAATCTTTACAAATTACGAATCATTTAACCTCAAAATCGTTGTCAGCTCTCTCAGTTTCACCATCCATTCGCGTGATGACAGTAGGAAAAGAAGTACAAAATGACAAAAAAAGATACATGCACCATGTCTTCAAATTTATTTTCTCTTCTTTAACAAGTAACGACAAAATCTGTTTAACGTTCTCGTGTGACGTACACTATTTCAATGTCCTTAAGAAAAAAAAAGAACGCCGCCCTGAGAATCTTAAACAAACGGCAGCAAGACGAAATATGTCGCAAACTAAAATTTCACCCATAAGGAAATGTAACCCCGGGGTGACACCCTATTTTGTTAACAAATAAGCCCTGAAAATTAATCTAGAGTATCATATGGTCGACCAAAAGTCAGTCTTGTCTATGTATATACTAGCTAGACAGTTTAGTAAACGCTTGGGTTGTTGAAGTTTAGGATAGGTATATAAGGTAGAGTAATGAATTTAAATCTTAAGGCTTTTTTTCAAATCAAAAAACGCTTCGGTGATCATGTCTTATGGTCTCTGATTTGAGGGGATTTTTGTACAACAAAATATGTGGGTAGAGAATGAATTAAACATGAAAAGAATGAGATATGATATACAACTTATATTTTGTAAAGAAAAACTTGTATACCTATTACTCATTTCATTTTTTTTTCGCACAAAGATGTCATTAAAATAGTCCGAGAAATAGCTGCATTTTCACATTAAACTGAGCGTTTTAAATTGTTTCCTTTAAATATTTTTCGACAAAAACAGTTTAAATTTATCAGGGTAAGGCTTTAGTAATTAATTGATCGAAATTGCTGAAGATACAGAATTTCTGCACTGAAACTGGTAGCAATCGACAAAGATATATATGCCCTCGTATATAGTCTTTATAGATATAAGTTAATCTTTTAGTCAAAGATAAAAAAAATAGTTAAAATTAAATCTGCTTGTGAAAATTGTGCTTGTATGATCGGTATTAACTCGTGTTCTTGATTTTCATCAAATTTAATCAAATCATTCCAGTTCGATAACGATAAAGCTGAATTGTGTATTCGTGCAATTATTACATTGCACTTGTTCTTTCCGCTTTTTGCACTGTCGTAAAAGAAAACGGTGTTTTATTAATTGTTTATGTCGTAATAACTTCACTAATTTGGCGCCTACAGGTCTGTAAATCTTTTCATGAAGAAATTATTATAATCAGAATTAGTGTCGTGTTAATCTTATTAAAGTTATGCTTAAAATTGCAAGTAATAAACAATATTTCAGTGAATTAAAGTGGAGATACGTCGAGGGGTCGTTGTCCATTGCCCTTTGACTTTTTGGTGGTCTAAAGTGGCAGTTAATTTCAGACTAATCGACACTGACCGTCATATTGCTTTCTTAAAGTATAGGTTTTATTTTCCAACAGTTCTTTTATCAAAGAAGTTAAATTTATACCCAAAAGTGTACAATTTCCTAAAACGCCTGCTCGACTCTAATTTCTGTGTTATTAGCTAGCAATGTTTGAAACATAAGAGGTTCTACTTTAAATACAAAATATGAATACTTTGAAATCTGGAGGAGTGCAGTTAAAGTTTATAACAAAACGTCTACATTTCCTACCACAATTCACGCAAATGATAAAACACGAGCGCAAACTGTGCAAATTAATAGAAGACATGAAATCTTGACTGATGAGGTGTCGTCTGCAACGCGACCAAAACAACAGACGACAATTTTTATTTTATCTCATTTAGAAGAAAAGTATTTTAAAAATAAATGCACGCGGTCAAGACTGATTCTTTTATAATTTGTGACCGATTGAAAAATAGAAAAGCCAAGCAATTCGTGTTTCCAAGCAATAAGTGTTTTTGTGTGTGTTTTTTAGGGATTGTTTTCTAGACTAGTTTACATATTCGCATGAAAGTCGTGAAGAACATGTTCTCTTCTTTCTTTAAGTTCCTTAAGCATTGTTTAATTCATATATATATAAATGGTTATTTCCAGTGAATACAAAGTATTTAAGCAAATTTAGGGTACAGACTGAAAGAACGAAAAAACCTTAATTGCATAAATGGGTAACTGGACAGTCGACCTGTTGGTCACACAGAAACAATTACTAATGTGTATGCTGTCATAGTGTTGTCAACGTTCGTGTAATAACATCATCATAAAACAACACTTCACAACAGTCTGTCTGAACATTTATACATTCACTTAACTGACCAACATACCTTGTTATTACTTACAAATAAAACGCTTCTGTCGAACATTTTCCTTTCACTTTTATAATAAAAAGACCTTACAGTTCATATACCACTTTTCTATGCATGTTCAACATTTTTCAAAATCATTCATTAAAGTTTTCTTGATATATTAGAGTTACCATGCTTTTTAATTATGTATAAAACTTTGTCAAATGCGAAATACGATTTAATTTGAATTTCTCTGAATTCTGTTTCACTGGAAACGTATAATGTTGTCTAGCTTTTATTTTACTGCGAATCGTTATGCTTTTGGCACCATTGAAGAAAGAACGCCAAATTTAGAACTAATTTAATGCATCTGTAACTTAAAGTGAGCTATATAAATGATCTACAGTATGTGACGTGAAACAAATCGATTCCAGACGATGCTTAGACCTGGAAATCCCCTAATAAACATCGTCTGAACAGACTAAAAGCTATATTAGGAAATGTCAGATAATTTTCTTTTGCACTCTCTGAGAAATTGCTATATTTACTTTTCGTCTGCTTAAAGATTATCGCATTTTTTTTTATTTGGACATTAATTTTATATATATGTATTTTATTTTCAAGTTGTTGTGTTTTTTTTTCAAATATTTTATCGAGGAAATATAAAAGAAACAGTATCTTACCAGACGCTAATTTGGTGGTAAATTCCTTATTTTCTATAATATAATCCAAACTTAGCGAAGAATCCATAACTGTTTTAACGCACTCAGCACACGATTCTTGTAATATCTCATTTAAAAAATTATCGGGTTGATGTTTACATAGCTGCTCCAAACTTTCAAACAATAAATCCAACCCATCTTTTTGAAGAAAATCCGAAATCCAGCCTGGTTGGTTTTTAGCCTTATCAAACTTTTTCTTGATAGTAGCGTATGTCTTAACGCTAGGAGCTCTCAACAATTCAATAATCTTTAGCGGTGTAGTAGGAGCGTTCTGATTGGCTGAATCGCTCGAGCTGAACCAACCAACCGATGATCGTCTACATTTTAAGCCTCGGCGGGGAATTGAAATGACTGTAGTAGTCTCAAAGACGTCTCTATTTAATTCAATTTCGCTGTCAGATACACTTTCAAGGTCGTCCATGATAGCAGAGAAAGCGTTTATTCCATCAGAATCTTCAGTTTATGGAATCTCTACGCTGAAAAAGAATGGAAATAGATATAGATTGACACGTGTTTAAGTTTTATATTGTTTTCTATGCTACTGGTACTATGAATATCAGAATTACGAGGAGTTAAATGAATTATAAAAATATATTATACCAAGGAGGAATTAATTAAATAAAAACAGTCAATTCAAAATCGGATGTTTTGGCATTTAGCTTGAGATTTGCCAGGATATTGTTTCCACGCATTGCTACTGTTGTTGTTGCTGTTGTTGCTGTTGATAATGATGATGATGATAGTGATGATGGTAGTAGTGATGATGATGTGCTCAGACAGAGAAATGCATACAAATTACCAACCCCACAATAGCATGTGTTACACCAACAACTCTAAAAGTTATCTTAATCATATATCAGAAATCTAAAATCTGCAGATACTCAACCTTCCACTTAAATTACGTATTAAATAGAAAGAATTATGACCTTTCTATTTAACCCTCTAAAGTTACTCTTTATCTATTCTTATTTTCAAATTAAACTCATTTTAAACATTTTGAAAATGACAAATTTTAATCTGAAAACAAATATCACAAATGACTTGGATATTTTTGAAGGGTCGACCTTGGCTACCGAACTATTGCTATCTCTTTGTCCGTGTTTATATTATACTTAGATCTGTCTAATTATCTAGTTTTTATTTTAATTTAGGCCATTTACTGTAAGGCCACGGAAGAGACAGATTTCTGTGATTATAAGCCCGTCATAAATTGTAAATTAGGCCAAATGAGAAGTGAATTATCGTCACTATAGTATGTACATTATTTTAATAGGCATTTGAAGAAAGGTTACACAATTTCAGACAATTATACCAAACGCCCATTAAATATAAATTAACTTAAATTAGTACGTCATTTGATTGTGGTACTGATGATGCTATAGACAAATCACGTAACACATTTTATACGTGCAAAAAATGCTAATAAAACTGAAAGTAAATTTCGTTGTCAAATATGTTATTCATAACTATAACCCATATCTTTGCACTTATCACTGCTTAATTAAAGCCGTGCATTTGTATATAAAGAGCCAGATCTTTTGTGCAAAAGCAGTGTTAGTTTAAACATACATGTATTTATCTTAGTAGCTTGATTGTGATAGTTAGATAGAACCACCCTCAAGTTTACTTCCTCGAACTAATCTTGACTGGTGTCATATAAGGAAACATGATATTGACCTAAACAGGGTACGTTTGGACCCTCGATGTCAAGATTAAGAGGCACTTTAACCATTATGTATCCGCTCCTATCTTTTTATTGGAAGGTCAGTGGCACCAACTAGGGCAGCGGCGGTAAAGACGTCGATCTTCCTCTCAAACAAAGAATATTGGGTTCGAGCCCTTCAAGGGGTAACAACAATGTTTCCCAATATGACAAAGCTCCTGAGCTGATTGGTTTAAGGAAGCGGACAAGAGAATGGTTCAGATGAGCTAGAATCTTTCTTCACAACCGAGTTTAGATAAATAATGTTTATCTAATGTAACTGTGGTCCTTTTTGCACCACCATGTTGGTATAACTATAACGTCACGTTAAACCTTAACACGTCAAATATCTTAAATGGACTCGTCCATCTTTTAATCTGGACATCATTCATCATTTACTGGTCACATGGGTAGAATCATTTCCCGCCAGCAGGTGTTTAAACCCCTAACAATACAATTAGATCATAGATTTTAATACATGTATGATAAATTAGTCAACATTTTACGCCTGTTTAATTAACTTGTGATATAGCTAATGCCTTTAATCACCTGTACTTATAGGACTGTTTGAGAGTTCGATAGAAATGGGAAACATCATAGTAGGAGAATTTAAAGAAACAATTTTGCATGTATGACTCGGGGTTTTGTTATTGTTTTTTTTTTTTTTTTTTTGTAATGTTGTGTTTTTTTGGGTTTTTTTGTGTTGTTTTATTTTTACCACTTTTGGCTCCATTTGCTATATATGTACATTATATTCAGTACAAAAAAGTATCAAAGGAAACATTTATACCGTCAAATTTCTTTTTCTTACACAGATGTATTTTTTGGATATTTTTCTTTCGTATAAAAAGTTCTAGAAAAGATGAAGTTGGTGGTTGTTAGACAAAGACTGGGCATCTTAACGCGGCTACATCACTAGTGTTGAAAGCCACGCTGAGTGCTTAATTACATTATCAGAATGGCTAGAGATAACTACCGTTTTCCTTTCAATAACCTGTTATCTTTTATGATAAATGAGTGATTGATGATACCATGAGTTCCGAGGTATTCCGAAATAAAGACTTACATGACCAAAGTGCCCCGGATGATAAAATCAGTAGGAAAACCGATTTACAATATTTTACGATATGTTTTTTTTCTCGATACAGGAACTGATTTCTTTAACCCTCCTCACATCTGCTAATCAATCTTAGAAAAAAAAATGAAATCTTGCAATTTACTTTCTCGCCAGCGTTGACTGATAAGCCATGAGTGGCATTAACTAGCCACCTTTTAGTAAAACTTTAAACATCTGAAGAAACTATCGTCCGCAAGTTATCTATTATATCAAAGCAGGGTATATTTTTATCCCTTCGAAAAAGAAAGTGAAACCAGGTTATCTTTTTTAAGATTGATGACTTTTTTCGTTACTTAACAGACATTTTTTAAACTTCTTTCAATCAAAGCCCATACATACATTATACTATACGTTAACCGTACCGTCAAAAAACTGACTTTGAAGTGGCAGAAATTTTGCTTTATAAAATCAAGAGGTTTTAATGAATCAGGTAAACATGATTATGTTATATTATACAATGTATAAACTTGGTCTAATTTAATCAAAGAAAACAGATCGATGACCACTATCCTATATATGATTAGATGATTAAAATCGTTTCATGATTTAATTGTCCTTAAGAAAGGTGCCGATTACCACTCCTTGAAGGATTTTCAGATTAAAGAAGTTGATCATCACAGGGACTTGAATATCGTTTGATATTTCAAAATTTTAACGTGTATATGGTTTTATGGAATTACAGTCAAACTTGTGCCATAGAACCACCGCTGAACTATTGTAGTAGCTCCGAGAACCTGTAATTGAAGGCCAACATTTTATTTTTTCACATGAACAATAATACTGCTAAATCACTTGCTTTGACCGACCACCTGTCAAAGAGAACATATTAATTTGTTTAGTCCCTAGAGATAGGTTATGTAAGAATTATCATGACTATCAAACAGGGTAAAGATAAAAAAAATGAAATGTTTGTATTTGATAAAACTACTAAATAGTAAAATTTTCTCTTCGGATATTTACAAAAATAAATGTAGAATAATACACAATGAAAACAGAGATAATCCTACAAAACCACTAAATACAAAAATACATCTGTCATTGTTTAAACTACGTTCTTATGTGTTTAAAGAAACAAACGAGGTCATTCCACTGACTCATTTATAACTGTACTTCTGGTCCATGTGGGCCCTTCTTTATGGCATTATTATCAAATCGACACTTTACCAAAATCTCAAAATATTATAACTTACAAACACACAGATCAAATGGCCATTATGGCGTTTAAGATAAAAGCAACGTGTCGCTGTTAAGCCATCTTATTTTCTAATTAACTCGTCTGCAGGGGGTAAACTTGCAGACCTGTTTGCCGAATAAAAACCTATCAATTAATGCTAGATCAAAGTAAAATCATTTCACCAAATTGCAATTAAATATGGATATCCATCTACCAGTGTTTGACTGGACAATACAGTAAGTGTTATTTTGGTAAGATAAAGTTAATAAAAATGGTATAAAGTGACCGAAAGACAAATAACAAATAGTAAAGTACTTTTCACATGCTAGGTCTAGTTGTCCTCAAATGTCACGGCGTTCTTTTAATGTTAAATGATTTCAATTATATAAGTCGTATTTTTTAAAAATTCCTATCCATAATGTCTTCTTTTAATTAACATTTTAAGGTAATTCCTTAGCGCCTTCAGGCTTTAAGATTTTCAAGATTATACATGTCATTAGCCCTTAAACAACATGCAGTCTTTTAAAATTCATATCTAGAGAAAACTAATGAACGTGTCAAAAACCAACGAATCAGGCCTTTATACATTTAAAACAATGCCTTTAGTCATTAAAAACAGTTCGCACAAAAGCTCTTTGGCTGAAAATCATAAGCGCATGCCTTAAAAACATGCGTTGCCCTTTGAAAACATGCGTATGCCCGTTAAAAAATGCGTTGCCCTTAAAAAAACATGCGTTTGCCAAAAAAAAAAGGGGCATGGGGTTGCCCCTTTAAAAAATACGATTTTTTCGCTAAAAAAAAACCCACAACGGGCTGATATTAAAGCTTTAAAATTTTCCCTTAAATCATTTTTTTGGGCGCATTCAAAGCCTTTATGGGCTGGTAAATTAAAATCAAGAGCTAGGTCGCCCTTTGAAGATACAATAGTAAGTCCCTGAAATGAAACCTTAACTTGACTTTTACATTCTTGTTTTTTCTAAAGCAGACCTTACTTTCAGACAAACCTAATAACTGAAAATTTTAATATTATAAAAATGATCAATGTATATTGAGTAAAGTATGGCTTTTGTTTTAAAGATGTAACATTAGTATTATTTCAATACCTAACCAATGTTAAAATAAATGACAAAAATGCATAGTAGACATATGTTTTGCACCGCACCTTTCTTGTTTTGATTTGACATGTAGCCAAGATTACCTAATGTAAATCCGGTATAAAATTTCCATCTGGGATTATTACTTTATAATCAACACTTAATGTTAAAGCAAATTGACGATTTTGTTCTAACCTTAATTGTTTATACGATGTAAGATTTGTCAAAGTGTCAACTTTTTACACCATATTAAATCATAGGTATGCCATTATTATACTTGAACCACAATCCCTTCAAACATTACAAAGATTGATATGTTAGTGTATTTAGACCGGTTACTCATTTCCCGACGCTATTTTTTTATGTTTTTACACAAGTGCCTTAATATTATGATTATTATACAT